TTGGATTCGACTGAAAATTCATATCGAATTAAACATACATCTAGCCTATTGTTTGGATCATTCAGCTGGTATTTGTGCGATGACAGAAAGATACTAACACGAAGTGCTTCTCGGACAGCTCGACAGAAGCTCTCGGTGTCTTCCACAGACGGTGTTTCACCATGCCCTTTCATTGGCATCTTCAGATACGTACAATTGCGCAGTTCAACCTAAAACGATTCAGATGCGATCAGAACGACGAATATATAACATGCTAAGCGGTTAAAACTGCTGTGATTTCAATCACATAGAATGCGAATAAGTAAAACCTCTTTTTTGCCGTAATATCGATTCGTTTTGGTCAGATCAATCCACAAAACAATCTTTGCGCCAGGTTCAGCATCGTTCAATTTCTTCGCGAACACATCTCGTGGATGAAATTGATATTTCGGTTCAATCTGGTCATCGTATAGTTTGCATAGCGGCGTTTTGAACGGTAGAAAATGCTTCGCCACAACCTTACAAACAAAAGTTAGTGATCGTTTATTCATGATATTTAGGTTAGTAAATTTTTATGACATTAAAAGGTTATAGAAATCGACATAGAAAAGGGAAATTCGCAATCATGGAACATTCTCCTCGAGTGATTCGATTCTTTAGAAACACTGACAATAAAAAGATAAAATTCAGGAAATCCTGATCATTTAAAACGATAAACACGAGTTACACCGCGATCTTTAGTCCACTTCCCGCGATAAAATAAAGACAAGAATGAAATAAATATTAACGAAATTGAAGAAAATCGGAAAAATTGTCTCAAAACTTACTGAACCCATTGGAGGACAATACATCCAACGATCCGGAGGACCTAATTTAGCCTTAGTCTCATTTGGTCCTGCCCGATCCGGATATAAAGAATCCTCATCGATATCCATATACAATTCTGAAGAAATTGAGAAAATAGCTTGCAGAAATGAAATGTAACTGAAAAAACGAACAACGTTAATGGTAAACAAAATCAGATTTCTTCTATTGACGCGTTCGTTATCAAGTTCTACCGAAAACCATCAATTAATTCATTAAGAACAGACGAGAAAAACACAGAGAAATGCTTTTCCAGAAAGAGAAAATCAATCAACGACATCCTTAATCTTTTAAAATTATAAGACGGATAGGATAAATTTCCAAGAAGTGCTGCTCTGATAGATTTGATGAAACGACTGCGAATCGGCTGTCGTTTCCGAACTTTTCATCATATGCTAATGTGCAACGATTTGCTATAGCAAATTGCAGCAGCTGGGTTTTTCTCAAAAAGTTTGTCTTCTGCAGAAAGCTCGATATTTTCGTGTGTTCGTCACTGGGTGTTTGGGTCCTTTGTATCGGTTGCGTTCTAAAGATTACAACGCACATCATCACGTGAACAAATTCCAAACGAGGTTTAATGGTGTATTAAGTGTGTGCGAAACGAACGAACATTGTTCACGTGAAACTTGCGCAAGTTTTTCTGACCAGAAAGCGTTTTTCGTGGTGCTTTATTTTGCGCTTGAAAAAGTGGAACGGTGGCAACTTCGTTACGTTCTTAAAATTTCTTGAGGAGAGCAATTTCTCGCGAAGTTATGAAATATTGTGCTGCTGATTGAATGACTCATCATTTTTCATTTTATTATTTTCGTTAAAACTCAATTTTTCGAAATCAACATTTCAGTGTTTTCTAAATCAAGCATTACGCTAATCCTTAGTACGGCAGTTTGTCGTAACAGAAATATACCTTGCAAATTGGTCTATTCGTGAAGTTGATATTGTTTCTTGTTGTGTTTTGAACGATGAACATCTTCATTCCGTTTGGAATTATGTGAATGATGAGCGCGATGATACATTTATAGCAATTTAATGTGTTAATCAATGGTCCGATTTCAGATACAAAGCACTGTTCATCAAATTTGAGTGGTACATATGAGTGCATAAACGGATATGCTGTTGGTATATTACGGTTGAAACATCCAACTGACTGATCCCAATGACCAGTATTGTAACGGCACCGGACGGTGCTAGATTCACGTTATTTTTCTCGATACGAAGTCCATTTTCAAACTTTCATCCATGTCGAATGACTATCATCGACCAAAATGAAGACAGTAACTACACTACAATATTTTTCAATTCAACTGAACAGTATTACATGTAAGTTTCTTTGCCACTTTGTTTTTCGATCGTAGTTCTGTTGTTGACCTTCCAACACAACCGGAATTTCCGATGTTGTGAAATGCTTCGAATATCACGATGTCGTTCAATTTCATATTATCGTTCTTATTTGACGTATTTCTTAGTTTTCTTATTATTTGACGTTTCAGGTATCATAAAGCAATTTCGTTTGGTGATCTGGAAATTGCCGATCAAATACTCAGGGAACGAGAAGCGCGGAAAATTAAAGCGCTTGGAAGGAAAGTGAAGAATTTCGATGCAAATAAGTTCGTTCTTCAAGGCTTTTCCTCTTTTTTATGTGCGCATGAGTTTGAAATTCTCTATGCTTTGTTGAGTTTTTAGATGGAACGATATTTGTGAAGACGTAATGCGACGTGGTAACACTGAAAAATATACGCAGAACGATGAATTACGCAAGAAGTTATTCTGCACTCACGGAAGTACATTGGTGGAATGTTCACCAAACGACAAGATTTGGGGAATTGGTATTATTCTTATTGTTTCAGTTGATGCACCCAGTACTTTGAAAAGAAGGTGTTTTCACTCAACTGCAATCTTAACTTTGTTGTCGATAGTATTTGGGCAATGAATTGAAGTGGTATTATCTTTTAAGGGATGAGTATCTTCGATCCAAACGCCGTTGATCCATCGAAGTGGCGTGGTCAAAATAAACTCGGACACATTTTGACGAGAATTCGTGAGGATCTTTGGAAGAAACCGGAATATGCCCAGGAGGTGTTCTTTCGGTCGTAATTTTCATGTTTTCATTCGATTTATGAAAATTATTCTGCACAAATTTTTTTTTATTCTGCGCAAAAAATTTAATAGTTTTTGAGTGGAATTTTTATTTCGCAGGTGAATGAAATTGTGGGAATGTTGAAAAATTTCGATGTGATCGCATGTCGACTATTTCCACCACCAAAAGCACCGCAACGTCCAATCATATCCCAGTCACCGTCTCCTTTCATTCCCACATCCACTCCAAGTAACAATTCTCCGTTTCTGCCTACCGATACCACTCAAATGATGATGTTCGCAACACCCATTCAAGCACAGTCACCATTCTCAATACCGTTGCCGCCTGAAACACGGCCGAAAAGTCCGAATGCTGCAGATTATACGGTATGTTTCAGTTTTCTTTTTTTTGCTTTTGCTATATAATCCTGTGTGATATAATTAATGTGTTCTGTTAATTGCTGTTGTTCTGATGTTCATAATTGGTGTGATTAAATTCAGTTATTTTTGGTTTCACGCTTTCTCTGATTTGCAGAAGTCTTCACCTATACCCGAAAGCTTTTATTGCTTCGAGAAAGATCAATCGAAAACGTTAAATAATATCATTCCTCCCGCATCGGTATGTTGCTTTTATGTGCAGTGGGAGTAGAAAACTTCCGCGGTGTGCTGTGCTCTTGATGTTCCACGTTTTAAAAAGTTTGCAAATTCTAGTGAGAATCTGAAAGAATCTGTTGTGCAGAAGTCTGAATCCTCAATCCAAATATGAGCCTGGGCTTAATGTTGAAGATTATGACATCGAAGAAATGATATCTCTGCAATAGTGCTATAATTTAAATGAATGAAACGATAAATGTTGAGTTCAGATTGAGAATTCAACAAAGATAGAAGATGAGTTGTCGTACGAAGAAGAGAAACGAAGTGCAAGACGCAATGGCAAGAAGGGTGATGAACAACACGTGTTGATGTCAAAAGATGACTCTTCATATCGCTATGCTCATCAACAACAACAATATCCGCACTCAGCACCCAGACGCGGAAGGAATCCAGAACCGAAAAGAAGACGTTTCGAAGGAGCAGACGATGGTGAACCAAAACGTCCGCCGTCAACGTCTTCGTTTCATCACTACCACAATCTCAGAAGTCATCATTATAAACGGTACTTTATTGACAGAATATCCACGCACTATTGAACACATCGTAAGATGTAATCAGTTTTGAGGTGCACTTCTTTGTTGTTTTTGCAGAGTTCGTATCGTTTCAATTCACAAAAACTCAATTCTCGAATTTTCGCAGACTCAAATTTCCCTTTGATAGGAGTCGACGAAGTGCATCCTACTCATCATCAATGTCATCGTCAATATCCTCTGAGTCAAGAAGCAGGTCGAGATCTGGGTCAAGGCGAAAAACTCGCAAAGAAAGTGATGATACGGGAAGGAGAAGATGGCGAAGGAACGAATACGAAAGTCGACGACGAAGAAAATCGTCGGTTGACGATGAGAGCAGATATATGAGTAGTAAGCAACGTTATGATTCAAGAACGAATGGTCGCAGTGGCAATCGGAATTTATCAGATTCTGATGGTGTTGCTTCAGCAGACATTCGTCACAGTCAACGAAGGTTGTTCTCTTGCCATGTTCGCATCGTTTAAAGCTTGTGAAATTGTTGTGATTGTTTTGCAAAACTGCATTTCATCATTGTCCGAAAAGTTGATGATAGAGTACAGTGATCGTGGAATTGTTGCGAAAAAGAAGATAGCTACAAGATGGAATTGATCCATCATTTGTCGTTGAAAATGTTGTATATGTATTCAAGAAATTTGTATATCTGATTGATTTGTTTCGTTCATATTTTGAGACAGTTGTGACAGATATTGCAGCTACGTTTTGGCTTTTTGGACTATCAGTAAAATTGTAAAAGTAATTGGAATGAGAATTTTTAGGCGACATCAAAGAAGAAGAATGCACTCTGCAACTTCTTCCTCATCGACATCGGATTCGTGTGCAGGCCGACGCTCTCCAAAACGAAATAATCATTCGAAGCGTAGTCGTTTAACCGTATGCTTTCGCTCTTTTTTCCTTTATTCTCGAAATTTGTTCTGAATACAATTAAGGTAATATATTCGCAGAAGGTAAGTAAATTTCATTGAACGTTTTGCAAGTGTTAGAAGTTTGTTTGGATGAGTGAACACGATTGGTGATAATATCTTGAAATTGAAGTGATTGGTGTATCAGTTATTGATTATGATCAGGCACAAATTTATTCATGTTTTCATCGATTTTGTTTGAGAGTACTGAATCAAAACAGTCGTTGAACGGGAATGCAACGAATGAGAATACGGAGAGAAGGGTTGAAGAGGATGACGTTAGACATGGAGATGAATTTACGAGTTTATTGCAAAAGTTACGTGAAAAACCGAGTGGTTTATGGGAGAAGAGGAATACGAGCGAAAATGCCATGTTCGTATGCCAATAACGAAAATGCTATTCAAGTTTGTTCGTTTCATCTGTTGCTTTTTGAGTTTCGATTNTTTACCATTTCAGAATTTAAACTGATTTAAGGCAGAACTTGTCTTGCAGGTCTTCAACTGCAAAAAAAAGACATTCAACTGATGACTGTTTAATATGGTAGCATTTTAAACGAATCCGGAGCGAAAACGAAATTTGAATCGCCAACCGGATCGGCACGAGTGGTCTTGCAATAATAATTATAATAATCTGCGCACTCTTATATGTTTAGTTTGGTGGAAAAGTTTACTTTTTTACGATGTTCTATTTATTCATCATAACGCAGTTATCTTTAGAAACGTTTACTTCAAATTTTATATTCAAAACGATCAACATAGTAATAGTAGAAGTTTGTATGGTGTTCCATGCGAGCAGCTAACCGCTATCACCTCACTTGCTTCATTTTGCGATCTCATTTGATTTGATTAATTGATTGATTGATGATAGATGAATGTGCTCTTTTTTATATATGCGCTCTTTTAAAATCAGGTTCACTGCTTAATCTGTGATATTTTGGATCAGTATGTGGTATTTCATCGTTGTATACGCGCAGATAAGCGCAGAAAAAGAATGTTAATCGAGTGAATTCGTCTTTTATTTTTGACTAAATTTCGTAGAATATTTGAGTGTTTTGTGTTGATATTTGATATTTATTAGTTATTTTGTCGGCAGCAATAATGACGCTTGTTGTTGTTTAACGAATATATTTGTACGAGTGAAATTATCTGTTTACCGTGTGTTCTCTTAATCGTTTGCTGTTGTTGTTNTTCTTTCACCATTATTCATTTGAAGAAGCAATTTTTTTCATAAAATTGAAAACTAAATCTTTGGAATACCTAACAAAGCAACCACAAACACTACCTGTATTGTTTGTTCTCAACGTTAAAAAATCGTCTTTCAATTTGTGATGGGTGGAGAGGTGGGAAATTGTTATTTTAGTCGTTAATTGTTTGTTTCTTTCGTTGTTCATTCTAAATTTTCGTATATATCTGCGTTTTTTTTTTCAAATTGTATGTACCTCATTTTAGCGAATTAGTGCTAAGTTGTCTTTCGTAGAGAACACTAAATCATTTGTTCTTTATATGATCTTTCCAAATATTTCTGTTTCGAATCAATCGACTATGGAAGTGTTCATTTTTTTGTTGCATTTTCGCAAATTATTCTTGATTTTTTTCAAGGAAATTTTAACGAATTTCAACGCGTTTTCGTCTTATCCCTAATGATCTGTTCAGTTTTTGTTGATCTCCAATCAGAGGGAATTCGCCGAATAGTTGGGCGAAAAAAGTGCCTGTTTGTTTTCTGTACTTGATACTTTTTGGTTGTTGTTGTTCCGTGAATTTTCTATTGATTCAATTGAAATATGATATGATTTCCGAAATTTTCATGCTCAAATTTTTACTATTTATTATCATTCCAATCTCTTGTAAATACTGTTCGGAAAGTGCGATTTTCGGCAATATTTCTAACGACTGTAAAGAAATTAATGTTTAAAAAATTTTGTAAACTAATTTGAACATATGTTGGAATATAACACTTTTTCGTTTTCTCAGATTTCTATATGCATATGTAAGTTGACTTATGATCAGGCTTGTTACCAAATTGATGATCCTGATGACTAATTATAATATTATCAATATTGATCTCTGATACGAGTATTCAAATCCATTTTAACGATGATAATTTTTAGGAAACCCATCGGTTTTCCTTTACTCAAATTATGACTGTAATTTCCTAGTCCCAAAGTATTATGATGTGCTCCCCAAACCCTAAATAATGCTATGTTCTCCTAATTCTTCAAAGTAATTCTGTAACGAATTCGTTTTTTATTCAATGTTGATAATTTTGTTGTTTATTTCGTATTCAAGTTGCATTGTTTTCCCCGAACTATCAATGTATACTGTCCATTTTCTGTAACTCTGTCATCAGTGTTCTTCGCCATATTATATTGTAATAAAAGAAATCTCATTTTCTGCAGCGTTATCCGAAGAAATCTGTGGAATTTATTCGAAAATTGCGTTTATTAACAGAAATGTTGCTTCGCACCCTTTGCTCAGCTCAATCGGATCGAAAAACAACACAAAAGAACGAAATTTTTTATAGACATGTATGCAGTCCTTAAAAAAATAAATACCGACAATTATAGTGAATATCATCGAGAACCGATATCTATCTCTCTGATGAATATTTTACACAAGTGGTATGGCATATCATGAAAATAGCTGTGTTTCGCTGAAGAAAAGATTTCGATCGACTTTATACACATTGTTTGAAGTATTCAAAACTAAGACACTAGCGATTTTGATTGGACGTCGTGTTATCGTGCGCAGTCATTTGCTAAACTTTTTTCTTGAGTTTCATGGTTAAAATCTCTTATGCCCTCGCTTAATAGTGCACGAATTTGACTGATAGTACGTTGTTGGGTCTCCGGCATGAAACAGTAAATGTATAATGTGGAGAATGTTAGCGGAATTATGAATAACATAAAACTGAATGGTCCGACGAGTTTTTGTAGAGGTGAATAGAGAATTGGACAGATGAAACATGTTATGTATTGGGAGGATGTGGATAGTGATTGCACACGAGGGCGATTCTGTGAATCCGTCAATTCCGTACTGATGAACCAAGCCATCGGACCCACGCCAACACTAAAAATAGCATGCTCTGTGATTTTGGCAGATGTTTTTTGGAATACTTACCTGGAGAATGATAAATGAACTGGAAAGGGTTGGGCGATCTGTTGCTTGAGTTTCAGAAGATTCGCAAAAATTATTGCGATCACTTGTTATACTTAGTGACCGCCTTTCAACCGAATAAAATATCTTTCGAATGGATCAAAATTTTCGAATTTGTATTCTCAACGATTGGAAGCAACGATTGCTTGACAATGAATTACAACTAGAATTACTTTTGACTGACTGCTGACTATTGAAATTGACACAGTTTTCTTTTCTATTATTTGAATGATGAGATCAGTGCAGTCCATCCTTTGAATACTATGGGACAGAATGTGATCAAAAGTTATTTGGGAATGCCAAAATATATGAAACGAATTTCTGATTCACCTGAAAACGAACAAAAAGATGTTGAATAGTACAAGGAAGGCATAGCCAAGCCATTGCATACGGTAATGAACAAACGTCCAAACTAAGCCCATCATTCCCACGTTAATCGCCAACAAACTCGATAAACTCACTAAGATCAAGAAACGCCGTCCAATCTGCAATTTTATCCTACTCATCATCAAACAAATCGTAGAATTTGCCTTTTTCAGGATAAATTCCATTGTTTTGATAGCCAGTCAAATACTTCTTACACCTAATGAATTCTCCTTCAGTTGTATCAGAGAGGAAATGAACAACCCCGAAAAGGGAACGAAATTGTCTGCGGTTGATCTACAACGAAACAGTTGTTACAATCAGACTGATCTCTCACAAAATCGCGCACCTTATCAATCGACAATGAGCCGACAATACATCCGGCAGTACCGGATAATGTTGACAGGCAATTTGCTAGCGCAGCTCCACGCGTACTAAAACCGATCGCACTGAGCATCAGAGTACCGAAAAACGATATGGCCATTATACCACTGAAGCTGACGGTTACGTTCAGAAGAACCGAAAGGTAGAGTGCACACCGAGTCGCTCTGAAATGCAAAACTCTTGAATTAATCGACAATCACCGATTGTATATATCCAATTATCAAAAATTTCGGATCAACATTAGATTTGAAGAGAAGTCGTATGAATAATAATTCAGTAGGAGGTTGAATTTCAAGTCTGAGGCAAATGCGACTACTTTCAGCGATTCATGGGAATAAAATGTGTTACGTCATGCTTCTAGATGAGTCACCCTATAATTCTTAATCACAGAAAATCAAGAAACTTCAGAAAATCGAAACAAACTAAGAATATGTAATTATGCAACTACAGATAATAACTTATTTAGTAATACTCCCTTGAATTGATCTATCAATAGCAAGTGAACAACAGATAAGAAGTTGATGAGAATACCTATCGGTGAAGATAGACTTCCACTGATTTACATTCGAATTCAATGAGAGTTCTATGCGAAGTTCTTTCAGCAGATCGGGATGTTGTTGCGCTCTTCTATAATAAGCATCGATTGCTTTCCTCGCTTTAAGATCGTCACCACGCCGTAAATATTCCAATGGACTTTCGAATAACGCGAACAAAGACACCACAAGGAGTACAGCGGACGGTATCATCTCAGCAAAGAAGCATAAAGGCCATCCACTTGGCGTGCCGAATAGTTGCGGTAGACCGAACGCTGATGCGAGTAGAAATCCGATGTTTATTGATAGCCCGGCCAAGGTACCCATAAAGCCTCGACAGTACACTTGATTCAAAAAGTAATATTCATTACTGACGTTATCGGATTATCACCACGGATCAATCGTATTGATACGCCATTTGATTTCGAGCAAAACTTTCTTTCGCGAACGAGACTCGAACCGATGACACATCAATTTCCGTTCGGATGCTGTGGTTATCGCAGAGACTGTTCTGGTTATGTCCACTCAATTTACGGCTACCCTCCGTCGAATAGTTATGTCGCTAAGTTTATTGCAAAACCCGTCATTCGATGGAGTTTGAACGGTCTCCGTCATAGCTCATAGGTAGTGCATCTGACTGGAAATTGGATGTCGCGAGTTCGAATCCTAGTCACTTGGGAGAGTTTTACTGGGAGTTGAATGGTGCATCAATATCACTGATGTTATCAAGCCTGAGTCGAGTTAGGATTTGGCTTGTACTTAATTATCTGCTGAGATCACGATAGAGTATAGGTGGCGTTTGGGCGTTTGAGGCAAAAGTGTTAGTTCTGTGATCTGAGTATGATCTTTCTGGTTCACTCATAATTGCTTCTTCCAGGGGAGTCAGAATTGCTAATTTTATTTCGTGTTTTCTCTGTGTACAAATTAGTAAATTTCCGGAAGTCAACGGTGACTCAAGCGTTCGAATTGGACGATTCATGATTAAAATTGATTGGAAATTTCCAGCAACTCAGCCAGATCAATATTGTTTCAATTCCACTAACCTGGACTAATTTCGGTCAAGAAAACACCTTGTAGAGTTGTAGCCATACCAACACAAATACCAACGGTGAAGCGTGAAACTATGAAAAGTTCAGCACTTTCAATGGGTTTACTCAAAGCTCCGATCGCTAGAGCTACCAGCATTACCTATCAAAATTGGTTTGCGTTATAATTGTATCTTCCTGATAGTAATGGTCAGCATAACATAAATTCACATTCACCCCATCTATGAGCTTACAATGCTGAAATCTTCATTCTATTCGTTGCTTTTTAATATTTGGAAACATTTTGTTATACAAACGTGTAATCTTCGAAAATCAGATGGGTTTATTGACTGTTCAATAATCACTTAAAAAGAGAACTCTTACAGATGAAGTTAGAACAAATGACCATCTCGATCCAATTTTTGCCATAGTTGACGGTGCGATTGCTGCCCCAATAACAGCACCAATAAAAAGGGTTCCAGCAACAGATGACCATAGTACTGTGGAAGCGATATCTGTGAACTGTACAGCATATCGTCTGAATCGTGAACGTATGAAGTATGGATAAGTATGCATAAATGGATAAATATGGATAAATAGATAAATTATCTGTAGTATCTAATTCATCAATACGCGAAAGTATGAATAAATCTTCCGGGGAAATCAGTTATAAAAATGATATGATTTAGAACCGATTTTAAAGTGACCATTTCAAATAATGAATACAAAATCAAAAGGTTGCTTTAAAATCTAACCGCTCCAATGACTGCACCAAAAACGTTTGCAATGTTTCAGCGAGGGGATTGATGATAGATATTTGAAATCCGAAATGAAATCCAGCCCCCAAAACAACCGCAATTCCGGTGAGTAAGAGTCTCAGCGATGGCATTTGCAACGATTTGTTGTTCATTGAGTGGTCGTTTGGACTGGATTTATTGCGTGGATCTACTATATCTGCGATATCCTCCTCTCTTTGCGATAATCTTCTCATCACATCGTCCACACTCAGCGTCATTTGTTGGCGTTCATATAGTCCCGGTTCGTCGAAAGAACTTGATGGGCATATCTCGAGCGGATGAATCTTTCGGTTCGCATTACTCAGTGGTATTTTGGGAGTTGATGTGCTCATTCTCGCTTTGTTGGAGCTGAATTTCGTGTACTGATTAAAAGAAACATTTGCGATATTTGGGAACACCACAAAATACTTTTTGTGTTGCAGTGCAATGCAGTTCGCCTCCAAAGTCGGCAAATATCACGAGCAAACGTTACGACTGCAAAAACTGACTAAATTATCGTCCGTTTAGACGGAATTTCTCACACGGATTCTGAATCTATTAGAACGAAAATTGACCACATTTGATGGTATTGATCAGGCTAATCGAACTTTCGAAAGAACTCACGAAAATGGATTGACAGCGATTGTTGAGGGGTTTTAAAAGTTGCTAGTATCAGATGTCCAGCTCGGAAGAAAGTTAGAGTGGAATTCAGCTTTTCGAAACGGAAAAACAAAATATTAGGTCATTCTTTTGTCATATTGAAAAAGATGGTAATTTTTTTTGCCCGCTTTCAATCAGAATCATTTAGTGATAATGTCACAAACTACTGATTAGTTCCCTGTTGATTCAATAATATGTTTATGAAATAATCAAGCAGCACAAACGTTCTCACGCGTTTGTAAAGTGCTAATCGTAAAACATGTATGAATGGCTGTAAAAATTATGCTTTAAACAATTATAGTACCATTATCGACCATTATCAATTCACTAGCGCAGTGGCGCCCATTCATACAAACTGATCGCTATAGAGCAATCAATATGTTCATACTAGCAATAGACGGATTGCGATCTTCGAGCTAACCGTCTTCTCAGGTTTGCCCGGAAACANCGGAAAAACAAAATATTAGGTCATTCTTTTGTCATATTTTGCCGGCTTTCAATCAGAACCATTTAGTGATAATGTCACAAACTACTGATTAGTTCCCTGTTGATTCA